CCCCCACCCCCCCCAGTGTCTTGTGTCCATTGGTTATTCTCATATGCATGCATACAAGTCCTTCAGTTGATCTCCTACACCACCAACCCTCCCCAGGGTTCCCACTGTAGTTTGACAGTCTGCTAAATGCTGCTCTGCCTCTGTATCCATTTTTGTTCATCAGTCTATAATGGTGCTTATTATTCATAAATGAGTGACTTCATGTGATATTTTTCTCAGCTTCCCAGGGGCCGTTTCAGCCTCACAGGGGCTGTCTCAGCCTCAACAGGGCCGTTTCAACTTCACTGGGGCTGTTTCAACCTCACCGGGGCTGTCTTGACCTCACCGGTGCCGTCTTGACCTCACCGGGGCCGATTCAACCTCACTGGGGCTGTCTCAGCCTCACAGGGGCCGTCTCAACCCCCCGGGGCCGTTGCAATTCCACTGGGGCCGTCTCAACCTCACCGGGGCTGTCTTAGCCTCACCAGTGCCGTCGCAACTCACTGGGGCCATTGCAACCCCACCGAGGCTGTTGCAATCCCACCGGGGCCGTCTCAGCCTCACCAGGGCCGTTTCATCCTCACTGGGGCTGTTTCAGCCTCACCGGGGCCGATTCAAACTCACCAGAGCTGTTTTGACCCCACCGGGGCTGTCTCAACCTCACCGGGGCTGTCTCAGCCTCACCGGGGCCGTCCCAGCCTCACTGGGGCCGATTCAACCCCACCGGGGCCGATTCAACCTCACTGGGGCCATCTCGACCTCAAGGGGGCCGTCTCGGCCTCACTGGGTCCGTCTCGACCCCACCAGTGCCATCTCGACTTCACCGGGGCCGTCTCGACCTCACCAGGGTTGTCTCGACCTCATTGGTGCCATCTCGACCTCACCGGGGCCGATTCAACCTCACTGGGGTCGCCTCAACCTCACCGGGGCCGTCTCAGCCTCACTGGGGCTGTCCCAGCCTCTCCTGGGCTGTCTCAGCCTCACATGGGTCGTCTCAACCTCACAGGGGCTGTTTCAGCCTCACTGGGGCCGATTAAGCCTCACCGGGGCAGTCTCAACCCCACTGGGGCCGATTCAACCCCACTGGTGTCGTCTCGACTTCAATGGGGCCTATTAAACCTCACCGGGGCCGTCTCAGCCTCATCAGGGCTGTTTAAGCCTCACCGGGGCCGATTCAACCTCACCGGGGCCGTCTCGACCTCACCGGGGCCGTCTCAACCTCACTGGGGCCGTCTTGACCTCACCGAGGCCATCTAGACCTCACTGGTGCTGTCTTGATCTCACTGGGGCCAATTCAACCTCACTGGGGTTGTCTCAGCCTCACCGGTGCCGTCTCAACCTCACTGAGGTGGTCGCAACCTCACTGGGGCCGTTGCAACCCCACCAGAGCCGTTGCAATCCCACCAGGGCCATCTCAGCCTCAGTGGGGCCGTTTCAGCCTCACCAGGGCTATTTCAGCCTCACTGGGGCCAATTCAACTTCACCGGGGCTGTTTCGACCCCACCGGGGCCGTCTCAGCCTCAATGGGGATGTCCCAGCCTCACTGGGGCCGTCTCAGCCTCACATGGGCCGTCTCAATCTCACAGGGGCCGTTTCAACCTCACAGGGGCCGTCTCAACCTCACAGGGGCCGTTTCAACCTCACCGGGGCCGTCTCAACCTCACCAGGGCTGTTGCAACCCCACCGTATTCAACCCCACCGGGGCCGATTCAACCTCACAGGGGCCGTCTCAACCTCACAGGGGCCGTTTCAACCTCACCGGGGCCGTCTCAACCTCACCAGGGCTGTTGCAACCCCACCGGGGCCATTGCAATCCCACCGGGGCTGTCTCAACCTCACTGGGGCTGTCTTAGCCTCACCAGTGCTGTCTCAACCTCACTGAGGTGGTCACAACCTCACGGGGGCCGTTGCAACCCCACCAGGGCCATTACATTCCCACCGGGGCCTTCTCAACCTCACCAGTGCCGTCTCAACCCCACCGGGGCCAATTCAACCTCACCAGGGCCGTCTCAACCTCACTGGGGCCATCTCAGCCTCACTGGGGCTGTCCCAGCATCACCGGGGCCGTCTCAGCCTCACATGGGCCGTCTCAACTT